TAACCCATGGCAGAGATGGAGCTGATCAAAATAAAAATGGTAACCCATGACAGAGATGGAGCTGATCAAAATAAAAATGGTATCCCATGGCAGAGATGGAGCTGATCAAAATAAAAATGGTAACCCATGGCAGAGATGGAGCTGATCAAAATAAAAATGGTAAACCATGACAGAGATGGAGCTGATCAAAATAAAAATGGTATCCCATGGCAGAGATGGAGCTGATCAAAATAAAAATGGTAACCCATGACAGAGATGGAGCTGGTCAAAATAAAAATGGTAACCCATGGCAGAGATGGAGCTGATCAAAATAAAAATGGTAACCCATGACAGAGATGGAGCTGATCAAAATAAAAATGGTATCCCGTGGCAGAGATGGAGCTGATCAAAATAAAAATGGTAACCCATGACAGAGATGGAGCTGATCAAAATAAAAATGGTATCCCATGGCAGAGATGGAGCTGATCAAAATAAAAATGGTATCCCATGGCAGAGATGGAGCTGGTCAAAATGAAAATGCTAACCCACGGCAGAGATGGAGCTGATCAAAATAAAAATAGTAACCCACGGCAGAGATGGAGCTGGTTACAGTGAAAATGCTAACCCACGGCAGAGATGGAGCTGGTTAAAGTGAAAATAGTAACCCATGGAAGAGATGGCGCTGGTTAAAGTGAAAATAGTAACCCATGGAAGAGATGGCGCTGGTCAAAGTGAAAATAGTAACCAGTGGCAAAGATGGCACTGGTGAAAACGAAAATGGTAAACCAAAGCAGAGATGGAGCTGTTCAAAGTGAAAATGGTATCTCATGGCAGGGATAGAGCTGGTCAAAATGAAAATGGTAACCCACGGCAGAGATGGAGCTGGTAAATGTGAAAATAGTAACCAATGGCAGAGAGGGAGATGATCAACGTGAAAATGGTAACCCGTTGCAGAGATGGCAATGGTCAAAGTGAAATGGTAACCAACGGCAGAGATGGAGCTGGTCAACGTGAAAATGGTAACCCAGGGCAGAAACGGAGCTGGTCAAAGTGAAAATGGTAACCAACGGCAGAGATGGAGCTGGTCAACATGAAAATGGTAACCCATGGCAGAGATGGCACTGGTCAAAGTGAAAATGGTAACCCATGGCAGATATGGAGCTGGTCAAAGTGAAAATGGTAAGCCATGGCAGAGATGGAGCTGATCAAAATGAAAATGTTATCCTGTGGCAGTAATGGAGCTGGTTAAAGTGAAAATGGTAACCCATAGCAGAGATGTAGATGGTCAACATGAAAATGGTAACCTATGGCAGAGATGGAGCTGGTCAACATGGAAATGATAACCCATGGCAGAGATGGAGCTGGTCAAAGTGGGAATGGTAACCCATGGCAGAGATCGAGCTGGTCAAAGTGGAAATGGTAAGCCATGACAGAGATGAAGCTGGTGGAAGTGAAAATGTTATCCCATGGCATTAATAGAGCTGGTCGAAGTAAAAATGGTATCCCTTGGCAGAGAAAGAGCTGGTCAAAATGAAAAAGGTAACCCATGGCAGAGATAGAGCTGGTCAAAGTGACAATGGTAACCCACGGCAGAGATGCAGCTGGTAAAAGTGGAAATGGTATCCCATGGCAGAGATGGCACTGGTCAAAACAAAAATGGTAACCCATGGCAGAGATGCAGCTGGTAAAAGTGGAAATGGTATCCCATGTCAGAGATGGAGATGGTCAAAATGAAAATGCTAACCCATAGCAGAGATGTAGATGGTCAACGTGAAAATGGTAACCCAAGGCAGAGATGCAGCTGGTTAAAATGAAAATGGTAACCAACGGCAGAGATGAAGCTGGTCAACGTGAAAATGGTAACCCATGGCAGAGACGGCGCTGGTCAAAGTGAAAATGGTAACCCATGGCAGAGATGGCACTGGTCAAAACGAAAATGGTAACCAAAAGCAGAGATGGAGCTGTTCAAAGTGAAAATGGTATCTCATGGCAGGGATAGAGCTGGTCAAAGTGAAAATGGTAACCCACGGCAAAGATGGAGCTGGTCAAAGTAAAAATGGTAACCCATGACAGAGATGGAGCTGGTCAAAGTAAAAAAGATAACTCATGACAGAGATGGAGCCTGTCCAAGTGAAAATGGTAACCTATGGCAGAGATGAAGCTGGTCAAAGTGAAAATGGTAACCCATGGCAGAGATGGAGCTGGTCAAATTGGAATCGGTATCCCATGGCAGAAATGGAACTGGTCAAAATAAAAATGGTAACCTGTGGCAGAGATGGAGCTGGTCAACGTGAAAATGGTAACCCATGGCAGAGATAGAGCTGGTCAAAGTGAAAATGGTATCCCATGGCAGAGATAGAGCTGGTCAAAGTGAAAATGGTAACCCATGGCAGAGATGGAGCTGGTCAAAGTGAAAATGGTAACCTATGGCAGAGATGAAGCTGGTCAAAGTGAAAATGGTAACCCATGGCAGAGATGGAGCTGGTCAAATTGGAATCGGTATCCCATGGCAGAAATGGAACTGGTCAAAATAAAAATGGTAACCTGTGGCAGAGATGGAGCTGGTCAACGTGAAAATGGTAACCCATGGCAGAGATAGAGCTGGTCAAAGTGACAATGGTAACCCATGGCAGAGATAGAGCTGGTCAAAGTGAAAATGGTAAGCCATGGCAGAGATAGAGCTGGTCAAA